AAACTCAAGTGACACTGGCCGCCCTTCAGCTCTTCAGACACACGAGTTCTCCCCTGCCTCAGGACCTTTGCACGTGCTCCTACCACCACCAAAAGAAGACAGCAAGACAGAGAAAGGCAGAGCGTGATTCTTCTCTTTGCTGGCTCCATCACCTGCTCCAGCTGGTAGGTCACCTCCTCAGCAAGACCCTCCCTCTAATGCAGGTCTCCCAGGTACCCCCTTGGCATGGTTTTCTTGAAGGAGTTACCCCCAAGTTGTGAATCCAACAGATGAGCTCCTCATCAGCCATCATGTCTCACCTGAGAGCCCGCGTGTCATTCCAGATTGCCCTTGCCTGGCCTCCCTGACCCACCTGCACCTCAGTAATGGTCACGCCAAACCATCCTGGTCTACTTTGCACGCCCACCCCCCAACCCCCGAGCTCCATCAGGGAGGGACTGTGTCCATCTCACCCCTCATTATACTATTGGCACCTGGCACACAGTAGGTCCCAACAAAATATTCGTCAAATGAATGAGTCATGAGGTCTGAAAAGCATTTAAAGTTTGGAGCAAACTTTCTTCCAAGACTAAATGACATTCAGGACAGAAAAAAAAAAAGTTGAACGCGATATATGCTTAAGATTTTAAATTTTATATTTGAAGGAACAGAATGAAATGATCTTGTATTTGTTTTATTTTCATATAAAGAGGAGCATAAAACCACTAGGCATGCACAAAAAGATTGAGTTTCATAGTGTGGCAAATAAAAAAGAGAAGGGTGGGGACGGATGATTGAGGGGGGAAGGGAGCCGTGGCTCAGTACAAAAATAGAAACAGATGGCGAGATAAAGAGAGAGACAGAGATCAAGAGAAAAACCAGCAGAAGGTTCTAGCAAGGTACAAAAGGGGGCTTCATTGCTCTTCTGGGAACACGGGGGTACCCTCCAGATTTCAAAAGGGGTTTTCGCACCTACTTAAAGCTTAAGATCACTTGTTTCTTAAGGTCTCTCTCTTCTTCATTTTTCAAAGAAAAAATTTTAAAAACCGACTACCTACGCTAAAAATCGGGGGTTAGCACGTTTCATTTTTGAAGAGCACACAAACTATGCAAATGAACAAAGATACTTCGCTTTGTGTTTTCTGAGGATATGGCTACAAATTTTTCAGTCATACACTTGAGTTTTCAAAGTTATGAGCAAGAATAAGAACGATCCTTGGGGGCTGTTGGAAGGAGGGGTGTGACCTTCAAGTGCTCTATAGCAGAGTCTTTTGAACTGTACATCCAGCCTGTTCTCTTCTCTGGAAATTCCCATGGCCCCAGCCATGATGAATGAGTGAGCAGAGGTGAGCACCGTACGTGGCCGGACCTCACTGGCCAAGCTAACTGGACCAGTGGACGGCACCCGTCCCAACCAAGGCCCATTAGAACTTCCCTGAGAACCAGGATTTGGATTCTAATGAGCTGGTGAGGGGGGTGAAATCAGAACAGCATCTACAATTCATAGGCAGGGAGCGTGGGCAATTTCCCACCGGGCTTTCTCTGCCTGGTGAGAGTGACAGGCAGGAAAGCTGGTCTGCAAAGAGACGCAGAAGAGCAGGAAAGTGGTGCAGCAGGTGGAGCCGGACCCCAGAATCCAAATCCAACATCCACCACTCAGTAACTGTGACCTTGAATGAGTTCCTTGACATCTCCTTGACCTGACTGTAACCTGCTCCATGGGGCTCTGGTGAAGGTTAAATAAGTTGACGTATACAGCACTTGGGACAGATTCTGACATGCGGTAAGTGCTCACTAAGAGTTTACTGTTATTACTACCTTGCTAAACTGTAAGCTCGTGAGGGTGAGGACTTCTGGCTGTTTTGCTCACACCCTGTCCCAGAAACTAGAACCGTGCCTGGTACATAGTAGCGCTCAACAAACATCTCTTGAGTGATCAGAGGATGAAGAAGCCCTGAAAGGATAGAGCCCCCCAACTCTTCTCCTTATCTCAGCTACTACCCCCACAGGAGCAATCAGAGTGGGGTCTTATCAAAGCCTAAGTCAGACCAGGCTTCTTTCCTGCTTTTCACAAACTCTTCTCCGTGGCTATCCAGGCCCTGCATGCTCTGCCTCTCTCCACTCTCTCTCTAGCCCCTCAGACTCCAGTTACACTGGCCTCCGATGGTCCTCTGATGTGGTTCCTTCTGCTCCTTCTGCCTCTGGGCATTTGCACATGCTGTTCCCCCTACGTCTCTTCCTCAGGGAGATCTTAACAGATGTTCTTCCCACTTACATTGGCTCCTCCACCCAGAGCCCCACACTTTTCTTTCAGGCCACTTGCCGCAGTTTCTAATTTTATCATTTGTGTGATTAGTCATTGACTCTTTCCCTCTAGAACACGAGCTCATGATTAAAGAGATCATAACTTCTGTTTTATTCTTCACTGTATTTCAGTATCAGGTTCAGCATATGACAAAAAGTAGATGCCCAACAAATGCTTGCAGAATGAACTCATTTGTTGAATGGATTGACTAAGCAAAGAAGTAAGACTTAGAGGGTGATTTCCCAAGTCTGGGTTCTTCTTGAGTTCAATCTACTGGCCTGGTTTTGTGCAATAGCCCCATAGCCTCCTCATACAATCCCCTTTTCCTAATCTGTTTTGAATGAGTTTCCCTATTCCTACCAAAGGCTTTGACTCCAACACACAGACTAATGCCATCCTCCAAGCCAGGAGGTTCCCATCCTAAAATAAGGACACCTTTAGAGGAAGATAACAAAATCCAGAGTCTCTACAATGGCCAGTATATGTTATCATTGCAATGTCAAAATACAATCAACAATTACTAGACATGCAAAGAAAGAGGAAAATGTGACTTGTGGTCAAGGAAAAGAAGCAATGAATAGAAACAGATCCCAAGATGTCTGTGATGTCAGATTTAGAAAAAGCAGCTGCCAGGATTTAAAAGCTCCTAATCTGTAATAATAAAAGTATAATATGCTAATTAGACCAGATGGCCAAACAGCAGAATGACCGTCTGGACAACCTTCTGGATGAAGCTGGGGCTGCGAGGGCCAAGCTCCTTGCACGAATTTTGTGTATTGGGCCTCTAGTCTATATAATAAAAGCCTAAGAGACCGTCACATCCGAAACAACCGAACAGACGACCGAACAGGCTGAGTTGGGCAACAAGGCTGGCAGGGGGGTTACTGAGGGATAACCAAACGATTGAACACCAGGCTGCATGGGGCGACCAGGCCGGCAGGGGAGGGCAGTTGGGGGCGATCAGGCCAGCAGGGAAGGGCAGTTGGGGGCGATCAGGCCAGCTGAGGAGGGTAGTTGGGGGCCATGAGGCTGGCAGGGGAGGGCAGTTGGGGGTGATCAGGCCAGCTGGGGAGGGCAGTTGGGGGCCATGAGGCTGGCAGGGAAGGGCAATTAGGGGCCACGAGACCGGCAGGGGAGGGCAGTTGGTGGCGAGAAGGCCGACAGGGGGGTGGGGGGGCTGTTGGGGGTGAGCAGGCCAGCAGGCAGAGTGGTTAGGGGTGATCAGGCAGGCAGGCAGGTGAGTAGTTAGGAGCCAGCGGTCCCAGATTGTGAGAGGGATGTCTGACTGCTGGTATAGGCCCAGTCCCACAGGGATCAGGCCTAAACTGGCAGTCGGACATCCCCGAGGGGTCCCAGATTGGAGAGGGTGCAGGCTGGGCTGAGGGACACCCTCCCCCACCCCCAACCCCAGCACAAATTTCATGCACCTGGCCACTAGTATTATCATAAAAGTCCTTAACCAGGTGTATACAGCCAAAGTGTCTGTGAAGATTTTAGGGTTTGTGGTTTGTTTGTTATCTGAACTCTACTCATGTCATGTAGCTTCTAATTAAGTAGTTTTAGGTGATACTCAAGAATCTGTACTTTTAACAACTCTAGAGAGTTCTGATGTACATTGCATCAGATTATCATATATAGAATTCTTACCATATAATACTTACACTTTAAGGCAAATGCCAAAAAAAAAGTTAAATTAATTTAAATGTATTGAAGGTCTGGTTGGGTTGGTTGATGGGCAGTAGTCAGCAGTTGCTGGTTAACCAGACAATAAAATTAAGAATATTTCAACTCTAATTATTTTGGAGAAGAAAGAACACTGTACTTATTTTGAGAAGAAAAAAAAAGATCTGAGGTTGAAGTAAAAGCCACAGACATAAAAGATAACTACTTAGAAAAAACAGGAGGAAATGCTCATGGTACAAAGTAAAAAAAAAAAAAATCAGAGTACAAACTACTAAAACATCAAGTACATAAATGTACAGTAGTAGATATTTCCATGTTTGTGAATAAAAAAGGCAAGAGAAAATATATCAAAATGTTAGTAACAGTTATTTTAGGTAGTTTGACTATGCATAGTTTTTGTTTGTTTGTTTTAATTGATTTTAGAGAGGAAGGAAGAGGGGAAGAGAGAGATAGAAACATCATTGATGAGAGGCAATCATTGATCAGCTGCCTCCTGCATGCCCCCTACTGGGGATCGAGCCTGCAACCTGGGCATGTGCCCTTGACCAGAATCAAACGGGGAACCCTTCAGTCTGCAGGCTGATGCTCTATCCACTGAACCAAACCAATTAGGGCTGACTATGCATAGTTTTCATTTGTTCCTACTTTCCTATATTTTACAAGAGTATATTGATTTTCCTCTATACACGCTCATCTAAAATTTAAACACAAAATGATGGCTTCAGAAACCTTCTGTCAGTACACACACATCTGCAGAACTCTAGCAGTTTTTCGCTCAGAAAGAGAAGGGAAGACGTAGCTGGGGCATGAATGTCATTTCTATCCTTATCCAGCTCAAGAAGACTTTCTTCTCTGGCGTCTTAGTAGCTGATTCGTTTCAGATACTGATTCGATCTTAAATGCCCCATCCCTCAGAGGAGTAAGAGACTGAGTCACAGACCTCAACCTGACAAGCCACAGGCAGTGGTTTAGCAGAAGTAAATCACCTAGTAACAAATAAATAAAACAAAATAAAAATAATTCAAGTTCATACCTGAACCACAGGGTGTCCACCAGTTGGAGCTTTGACAGCCCCTCGGCTGCCTTCTGTCTCATAGTGGGCCCGGTGATGTGGTTTGGGCTGCACCTCAATCCGAAGCTCATAGGAGCCTGACTGGTGGGAGAGTGGCCATTCAAGTGGAGGAAGGGATGCAGTCACTGGAATACTGAAGGAGGAAACAGAAACAGTCATATGTACAATAAATCAGAATCAGGTAACCTGTACAATAAACGTAAATGGTTCATTTTCTGAAAATCATGTCCAATGAGCATAAGAATAAAACACTGGCTGTTGGGAGGCACATATTTCTCAGGCATGATAGGTGGGGCTCTTCACAAGATGGAGATCTTTTTGCTTCCTCATTCATCTTGATGAAGACAGTGTGACTGACATCTTAATTCATGAAGCTAATTTCACTGTATGTTAGCTCTAGCATGTTTCTAACTGCCGGACCTTCTTTTTCTCTGAGAATTTTGAAGAGTATCACCGCCAAGCTCTCATTTCTATGTATGATGATCTCAATTAAAAGTAAACTTTAGAGAGAGGAGAGTTCCAGTCACAGTTCTTATTTATCATGTCAAGTATAAAACATCCAACCACAGAGAGGTGTCTGGTTTTGGTAGGAATGAGCCAAACCACTCAGACTCCCTCATATTAAATGAAGAGTAAAGGTCAAGATCATGACTGGAGTTACACACCAAAGTTTAAGTTCCAGCACCACTTCTAACTACCTGTGTGATGGAGCAAATGCCTCTACCTCCCTAGGCCTTAATTTTCTCAACAGTGAAATGGGGATACGGAGATTATATAAAAGATCCTATCACAATACTAGTAAGTGCTCCAAAATTATTAGCTATAATTTTCCTGTACATATTGTATATTTCAAATAAATAGTTATTTCCTATAGACAATCTGAGTTAGTTGCAAGATTAGATATGCATGCCTTTACATCTGAGGCTGTAAGTTCTTTGAGGGCATGCCATTAAGTTTCATTTTATAATAGAATCTCAACCCTATTCAGCACCCACAGCAGGCACTTGATATGTGATTAGAATTATGACATTTAAGAGCTGACTGAGGTCTTGACAATCTATCTAGACTATTCATTCCTTCAGAGCCTCAGAGAACCTCACTTCATTTTTCCAAGATCACAGAGCAAGACACAGTCAGGGCTCCAACTTATGTTTCTTGACTCCCAGTCCAGGGCTCCATCCACAACTCCATACTGCCTCTTTATCTTACTAATTTATTTAAAATCAGTCCAAGAAATTACCTCATTTGTGGAATGACTCTAGCACAATGCCTGGCATTTGATAGGTTCCCAGTGAATATTCAGTGGGTGGGTGGGTGGATGCACGGATGGATGGATGAGTGAATGAGCAATTTTATTTCAAAGAATCTCTGTATATTCATTGTAGCTTTGAAGTTGCAAGTGCATGGATTTGTGTCACTATGTCCTGATTTTTTACATATGGCAGAAATCAGCAATCCAATCAGACTATGCTTTCCCACTAAGCCTAGAGCAGTAGAAGCTGACATTATCCACTTGACGTAGTTAAGTGCTTGCAATGAAGCTAATTCCATCTCTAACTACCTGTGTGATGGAGCAAATGCCTCTACCTCCCTAGGCCTTAATTTTCTCAACAGTGAAATGGGGATACGGAGATTATATAAAAGATCCTATCACAATACTAGTAAGTGCTCCAAAATTATTAGCTATAATTTTCCTGTACATACAGTGGGGCCTTGACTTACGAGTGTCCCAACTAACGAGTTTTTTGAGATACCAGCTGTCTCTCGGCAGATTTTTTGCATTGAGTTGACAGAGTAATTTGAGTTAACGAGCTCCTTAACGAGCTTGGTCTCAGAAGGAATTAAACTTGTAAGTCAAGGCCCCACTGTATTGTATATTTCAAATAAATAGTTATTTCCTATAGACAATCTGAGTTAGTTACAAAATTAGATATGCATGCCTTTACATCTGAGGCTATAAGTTCTTTGAGGGCATGCCATTAAGTTTAATTTTATAATAGAATCTTAACCCTATTCAGCACCCACAGCAGGCACTTGATATGTGATTAGAATTATGACATTTAAGAGCTGACTGAGGTCTTGACAATCTATCTAGACTATTCATTCCTTCAGAGCCTCAGAGAACCTCACTTCATTTTTCCAAGATCACAGAGCAAGACACAGTCAGGGCTCCAACTTATGTTTCTTGACTCCCAGTCCAGGGCTCCATCCACAACTCCATACTGCCTCTTTATCTTACTACTTTATTTAAAATCAGTCCAAGAAATTACCTCATTTATGAAATGACTCTAGAACAATGCCTGGCATTTGATAGGTTCCCAGTGAATATTCAGTGGGTGGGTGGGTGGATGCACGGATGGATGGATGAGTGAATGAGCAATTTTATTTCAAAGAATCTCTGTATATTCACTGTAGCTTTGAAGTTGCAAGTGCATGGATTTGTGTCACTATGTCCTGATTTTTTACATATGGCAGAAATCAGCAATCCAATCAGGCTATGCTTTCCCACTAAGCCTAGAGCAGTAGAAGCTGACATTATCCACTTGACGTAGTTAAGTGCTTGCAATGAAGCTAATTCCATCCCGTCTCTATCAGAGTCATATCAAGGGGAGAACGGAAGGGGATGGTAACCCATAAACTCAGCAGTGCTAAAGTCCTACTTGAACTTTCAATCCAATTACAATTATATCTTTACTCCACAAGCAAATCTCCATTCCTTCCTTCCCACCACACTGCCCCCTGAAGCCCCTCTTACCCTGAAGTCTTGGGGTGCCTACAATGCCTTTAATTCTACCTTAGTTACATGCCAACATGCCTTCAAGCTGCTGCCTGCAACCAAGGTGCCACTGATGTTAAATACTCCTACTCTCATCATCTATGCAAGTTAAAAAAAATATTAAGTTTGCAAAATAAGGCTCATAAAAAAATCACTTCACCCCTGTGTCTCTTGAAGTATCAAAAATTTAGTGAGTGGGAGATTCAGTGGGATGTCTGTAAGCATCAATATCAAATTTTGTTTGTTCTGGAATAAGACTTTGACAGCTGAAATAAAATATTAAGAATCAGACCACTGAGGTCAGTCTGAAATCCTGCATTGGAATTCCAGCCCTCGGCTGAGTTGTCCACACACCTTTGAGCAGATATTATCATGAGATCTCCTGAATGCCCCCATCCTCTCAATCTGATAGAAAATTCTTACCAATATCCCCTTGGCTGGCACAGACTGACACCTGGTAGGGGACAAAGGATTCTAACACCTCTCAGATCAAGGCACAGAATGGAGAGGGAAGGATTTCACAAAATAAACAATAAAGTCTCACATAAATGTATTACAACCATATTTCATATTAATGCTCCTCCCCATTGCCAGTCATTAGATAGGCCATGTTTTGGAGATTGATCTGTAGCAGAAAGGATGAGAAGTCAGGCATCCTGAACTCTAAGTTCCAACGTGGTCATGACTGTGTGATCACGTGCAAGTCGTGTCACCTCTCTGAGCCCTGGTTTCTCAACCTGTGCCAGGGGTTGGTCTTGGTCGCCGCGTCCTAAGGTAGCTCTGTGAAACCTGAGCCACGGAACTCAGAACTCGGCAGCCAAATGAGCTTCGAAATCACTGCGCATTCTGCCCACAGCTGGGAGGGTCCCCTGAACATAGGCACCTGTTTAACCCTACTGAACCCAGACATTCCATTCCTTAAGGGACATCGGCTGACCTACTATGGCAGTAGTGCTCTCAGTCAGACTGGAAGCTTTACAGGGTCCATTTTGGTCTGGTGTGGGGTTAAGCCAATGGTCAGGGTCCTTGGCTACTCTCAACCCCACATCAATCAAAACCCTCTCTATCTACCATTATCTATTTTGGTATTCAATATTTTATTTGGGGGGGGGAGGGAGGGGGTTCCAGATGCTAAAATCAAATGACACTTTGAAAACCACTAGGATATGATAATAGCATAACTCTTCAGATTCTTCATCTAATACAACAGATAGAATAATATCTGCTCCTGACTGTGTGCCCCGTTTTTCTTGTCATCAAAATAAAAATAATACGAAACCAGGTTTATGTGAGAATTAAATGTAGTAATACATAGAGATACTTAGAATTATGCCTGGCACAGAGTCCTTAAATATTGGTGATTATTATTGTCCCTATCAGGACTCTGACGCTATTGGGAGCTCAGTCTCCTAGCACAGAGCTTGTCTTTTCCTCTAGAAGACAAAGATTACCCTATGACAATAACGCTGCACTGTTTCTGAGCTCTTACTTTGTGCAGATTCTATGCCAAGAGCTTGATAAATATGATCTCACCTAACCCTTAAAATAAAACACCATGAGATAAGTTACTATTATCATCCTCACCTCACAGGAGGAACCAAGGCCCAGAAAGGTGCTTAGTGAGAATGAAGGTCCTGATTGATTAGTGATGTCTGCCCTGGGCATGACATGAAAAAATGCTCAGTGAGAAAGATGGTCCTGCAGGATTGGTGATGTCTGATGGGCTCAGTAGGATGGCAGTACCAGAGATGCCCATGATCACACAGCCAGTAAATGGCAGAGCCAGGGCTCAAATCCAGTCCTAAGAGAGTCCAAAGCTTACAGGCTGCTATCTACAATGCTTCAGCTTATCAAGATTTTTAAACTCCTAAGGATTAGGGCTCACCTATTTTTTAGGGCTTCCCTATCACTGATTGCAGTCCTGTGGTACATAGCAGATGTCAAATAAGACATCTACACTATTAAAAGAGAAAGATGCAAATTGACTGTACCATCACGACCCCCACCAGCCAATCAGGAGTGGGTATGCAAATTAACCCAACAAAGATGGTGGGTTAATTTGCATACACAGGTACCGACAGGCCGGGGGCAGGGTGGGGCGGGATGCTTGCATCATCACCATGGCAACGATGCAGGTGTTCCGGCCGCCCCAGCCACTCTGGGCCTCTGGGCAGCATGGGAAGGCGGAAAGGCGGCTCCAGGCCGGAGGGCAGAGCAAAGGCGGTGCCAGCAGCCAGGGGAAGGAAGGCCCATTCTTGCACGAATCTTCGTGCATCGGGCCTCTAGTCTTATAATAAGATAGCAAAATGCATACATAAAGACTTGCTTTCTGCTTATGAGAATGCCAGCTCCATAAAGGCAGACATTTTTGCCCACTTTTTTCATCACTATCTCTCCAACACCTATAACAGTGTCTGGCACCTGGTAGGTGCTTGATAAATACTTATTAAGTAAATGAATGAATGATGAGCCAAGTGCCACATGAGCAATCACATGCATCCTATTACTACACCCTCAAAATCACCACCCAGTAAGTCATGTACACCTATACCCATTTTACAGATGGGGAAACTACGGCTCAGAGAATTTAACTTCCTTCTCAGGGTCTCACAGCCAGTCAACGGAGAGCTGGAATTTAAATGTTCAGAGTCTGGCCAACTTTGAACCCCACGCTCACAGCCAGAAAACCATCTCTTGACACTAAATCGTGGAACAATTCACTTTCAAAGCCCGACTCACCTGCAGATGGGAATAGCGGGCACCAGCGGCTTGGGCCACGTCGGGGGCATCAGCAAGATGGACTCGGGGGCCGAGTTCCTCCTCTCCTCCTGCTCGCAGGGCCCCAGGAACTCCATGGCCGGGTAGATGTGGCGGGGCAGGCCAGCCTTGGGCTGGGCGGCAGACACCGGTGACGGGTCGGGGCTGGTCTTCCACATCTTGGGGGGGATCCCACAAGGCGAGTCCGGGGCGAGGCTGTTCAGAGCATCCATGAGGACGGCAGAGCCAGCCGTTGGGGGGTACCCAGCGGGGGCGCCGTCGTCCTGGGGCTGCGGTGAGGGGCTGCGGGAGTGCGGGTGAGGCT